TGACGTCTCGCCATGTCCCGCTTCTTCCAGGCGCTCTGCCGCGCCGGCGGCGCCCGGGCCGGGGCTCCGGACGTGCAGGAGGCGGATGTGCAGCGGTGGGGGCTGACAGGTCAGCGGGGAGCCCGGGGGAAGGGCCGGCAGGGAGCCTTAGGGGGTGTGGGTGCTGTCAGAGATGGCGGGAGGCGGCGGCGGAGGGGTCCCGCGCTGCCTGCTGCTGCCCAGCTCGTAGAATGGCTTGGTTTGGAAGGGATCTTAAAGATTATTCACTTCCAACCCTCCTGCCATGGGCAGGGACGTCTCCCTCTAGACCGGGTTGCCCAGTGCCCCGTCCGACTTGGCCTTAAACACCTCCAGGGACAGGACATCCACAACTTCCCTGGGCAGCCTCTTCCAGTGACTCACCATCATCACAGTAAAGATTTTTTTCCAAATATCTAATCTAATTATGCTCTCAATTTGAACACATTCCCTCTTGTCCTGTCACTGCAGACTCCTGTAAATGGTCTGGCCCCATCTTTCCTGTCAGTTCCCTTCAGGTACTGAAAGGCCTCAGTTAGGTAACCTGGAAGCCTCCTCTTTGCCAGCTTGGACAAGCCCAGTTCTCTCAGCTGTGGTTGTTTGGGCTCTGTACTAACAGCCCCGAGGCCAGAAATAAATAGAGATGCGAATAAAGTGGCTCCCGGGCCTGTCAAAGTGAGTTGTAGCTGCTGCAGAGATGTCACTGCTGCCAAGCTCTGTGCGAGCCTTCCCCAGCTGCTGTAGTCCCTGTCCTTGGCTTTGTGGTTAGGTGGGTGTTTGGGCCAGGGCTGAGCTCGGCTTTAACCCCCCTAGTGCCTCAGCACAGCCTCAGCTCTGTGCTTTGGGGCAGCATGAACACGGGTTGGCCTGCTCACTGGCCTTGAAATGAGCTGATGTTGAGTGTGAATTAAAGTGCTTCCCACTGCCTGGAGTGTGGTATATTAAAGGGGAAGGCCTGGGCAATCCATCCTGCCCGCCCATTTTCCTTAGCTGCTGGATGTCCTCACCTCAATTCACAGGCTGGTCTGGGTTTGTGTATCTTGTGGGCTGGTGAGTTACTTCATGCACTCAGTGTACTCATTTTCCCAGGGAGGAGAGGGCAGCAATGGCACTGTACAAAGCACTTGAGTGTAAGTACAAGGAAAGGTCTTGCCAACTCCTATGTGACTTGTTTTATATTCATTTTGACATATTGTGCCCCATAATGATTGCAATGGTGGTAGTAGTCACAGTGGCCTATAGCGGAAGTCTGCCTTAGCTTTAAGTACAGAAAAGCTGGAAAACATCTTGTTGAGAAATTATTATTATACAATAATAGATGGTGACAAATATTTCTGGTACCCTAAAGTGTGTCTCTGGCTCTAGTACTTGCATATTTAAAAAAGTGACTCAAGCTGAAAATCAAGCTGTCTCTTAGGAATACAGAGTACCAGCCTAATTGTTAGATCAGGTTCCCTCTACAGTCTGTTGCAATGGCTCAGGGCATTTTTGTGTAAGTTTCTGAGTAGGCTTTAATTTAATGGAATTGCTATAACTTTGGGGTCTTTGCTGTCAAGGAAGGTAAACCAGCTTCTGTTGAAGGCTGCTGTGCTTTTCCTGTAAGGCAGATGTTTGGGAAGGCCTGTTCTGGGCAGGACCTGTTTTTAGTGTAAGCATGTATGCAGTGCATTGGGTGACTGTAAGTGTAACAAATCACTTTTATTCCCAGGCATTAAACTTCGTCCCTATCAACTGGAAGGTGTAAACTGGCTGGTTCAGTGCTATGAAGTCCAGCATGGCTGTATCCTGGGTGATGAGATGGGCCTTGGGAAGACTTGTCAGGTGTGTCTTCTTCTTCTGGAAAATTATCTTTGCTTAAATTCTTAGGGTTTTAGCCCACTGTTTCTGCAGAATGAAAAAGCACCCTAATGATTCCACCCCCACCTCTTCAGAATTCCATACTCAAGTGAGAGCTCATTGTCTCTTTCAGTCCTTAACCACTTAAAACAAGTCCTGAGTTAAGTCCTGAGTAGCTCAAAATAGGTTTCAGGATTTTGTAAAAAGATGAGTGGCCGTTTTATCCAAACACCTTATGCATAATTCATAGTATGTAGAGTTGAAGGCACAGTACACAGCCAGTACAGGGAAAATAATGTCCTTGTGATGCACCTGTACCAAAGGGCCTTTTGTGTTTGTCAACACATGGATTAAAATTTATAGATCTATTTTTTTCAGAGGTTTGTTGGATTTTTTAAGAAGTTTTTCAGTGTGTTTAAATTTTGTTGTAAAATGACTGTACTTTGGATCAGCTGATTTTATTCAATAGGTCTTAAATTACAAATAGTTTTAGAAAATGATGTGTGGTAGACCTGGTTTGTGACTGTGCAAGAAAGGCCTTTGGAAAGGGGCTTCATATATTGAGGTCATGTTTTAGGATCTAAGCCTTTTTGTCTGTATCCCATTTGATTCTCTGTTAACTCTGATTTGTGATAATGAACCTATGGAAACTGGCTGCAAAGCTCAACAAGGAGACAGCTTATGTAGGATCAGGCTACTGGGTTGAACCCTTCCCTTATTATTAAAAAAGTATTTTCCTTGCCTTTTAGACCATTTCTCTACTTCTTTATTTGACAAAAAAATTATCCAACAAAGAGAGATTTCTGATACTTTGTCCTCTGTCAGTTCTGAGCAACTGGAAGGAAGAACTGGAGAGGTAAGTTTCAACAGTTGCCTGTCTTACTATATTATTCC